CAGACTGAGTGACAGGCTCACAGCTGGACAGGAATACAGTATACCGGGCACTTTATTTCAGGTTTACAGTAGTTCAGATGCCATGATGGCAGCTCATAGTAGACTGATCAGCAGTTGGTGCTGTTGTGCTGGCAATGAAGAAGATGTGTAGAAGCTATAGCACAGCATGAGCTCTGTGCTGGTCCATATATTCGATTTAACCAAGTCAAACCCTTTACCTGTCCGTGAAGCTCCTCTGCATACAGCCTGTGGTTGCTCTTCATTAAGGACAGCTGTAAGCTGTGTAGGGTTGTAGTCCTAGCTACACAAAGTTTAAACCAACTGAGATAAAATGATGCAAATCAGTACATCCAGTAGCTCATCTCTCATTTAAATATTAACGACTACAAAATGGAAATATCTAAAAAGCAGATTAGTTCTCAGTACACTTAGATGTGTCCAAGCAATTTAGTAATTTAGCTGACAGAAAATTGTTAATTGTTAATATTTCTGAAAGAATCGTCTAGTAATTTCTTAATGAAAACCCACCTGTGCTTCAAAGTATGTCAAAAAAGTATTTAAAGTATGTCATACCTCGCAGTGAGTCACTATAAAGATTACCAATGGAGTGAAATAAATTCTTTAAAACTAATATTTGTTATTAAACTCAGTTCATGACCGCTGTAGAATTTAGGTGTTTATTATAGTTTTTTATGTTGTAGGCTAAAGACAGATAATCTGTTTTGAAAATAATTAGCACGATAATGAAGCTGTTGTAATTACTCGTTTTGTTATATGACTGTATTTCCAGTGTGTTTCTATTGTCTGTAAGTAAAGTATCCATTACTGCTAAATGTGTTCAGTGTTATTGTATAACGTGACCTCAGAGCGTCTCTCGCATGATGCTGGTACCAATACTGTGATGCTTTAATTCCAAAGATACAATCAGTAACACTCTCTGAGTCAGTACATGTAGATAAATCCTGACCTCTTGCTGTTCAGACATCGGGGTGAATCTGACAGATCCCATGTTCAGAGGACTCTACAGAGGGAAGCAGAAACATGACGGTGAGCTACTGCTTCACTCTTATTTTCACTGTG